TCGCGAACGACTTAATATTATGCCATACTGTTTGTGATAAATGCAGGAAACCCCTTTTTTATTAATATAGCTGCACCTGGAAGTTCTTGCCTAGAATTTATTGCTGCTTTTTCAAAAGCAGTCGAAAGGAACTGTGGATTTCATTCATCTAGATCAGGTTCAGCAGAAAAATCATTAAAATTTTGAAATAAATAATTATAACACTCTTTTGGTTTGCTGGTCATTAATGCATAAACAATAGCAAACACTTTTGCATTTTCACCAATACCAAGTAGGGTTTGAAAGAGAAGTATTGGAACCACTTTAAATATAATTACGAGCTTCTTTCACGAGTGTAACATTGTTTTTGGTAGTAAACAAAATAATGCATTTAGTAGTTTTGCTTTTATAAGTTTTCATATTTCGACTATTTGTTTCTTTCCGTGCTATTGCTTACTATTTATCGGGCTTATGAGTTGTCGGGTAAACGTACCTGTCAGGAAAACATATCTGTCGCGAGAACGTACTTGTCGGGAAACGTGCCTTCCGGGTAAATAAGTTGTCGGTAAAACGATGTGATCCTATGAGAACCTGTCCTACGGCCGCAATGGAAGTACAGTTTTTTTGCAAGAAAAGATAAAGTCAAAAAGTAATAATTGTGTTCGTTACCGAAAAGCATGCAATTTATTGGCATATGAATAGTTCCACAGCCAGAGAAGAAATTGATACCGGAATGTACAGGCCTAGAATCAATTCTGAAAGTTTGGGTAAAGACCCAAGTATCTTCCAGGCAAAAATATATGCCATTAAAAAATTTGTTTACGTCGATAAAACCTGTCGCAGAAAGGAGATTAAAATGGTATGGAAGTACATAGAAAAACTGAATGAGCTATCCGAGGAAAAAGGTAGTCTTTCAAGGAAAGGGACTTCGTAGTAAGAGAATATGAGGAGAGAAGAGAGAAGAACCGACAAATAGAAGTATCGTTTGGTGCTAAGAGATGCTTCTGGGAGATTATAACTAGAAAATTTTGAAAGCCTGTAGCTATCTGAGCAAGACCAGGATACCTAGCACATAGTAACGAGTATCCTTAGCGGTCATTGCCGACTCAAATGACATCTTAGTAAACTTGGACTAGTAGAAGATTGTGAGTTCAGATTCTGAGGAGAAGCAGGACAAAATTTTCATTCACATTCTCACTGAATATAATGGTATTAGACATAATCCAATAGGACTATAATTGGGAGCATACCAAATAGATAAATCTCCAAATCCTAATTTTTTTTTGTCATAAACTGCCTTAGCGACAGAATGGTTACAATTGATCTTTTAGGTCGAAGTGTATCTTACACCCCATAATAAACTGCTTTAGTAGAGCATATAACTTTCCAGAAATATAAAAAATTACCCTTAGTCCTATACTGTCCATCGCGTGCAAATATTGCGACGAAATTATCCACAACTTTGGGTGTCTCACGGCTTAATTTATATACACTTTCGGTTTTATTATTATAGAGGTGTGTAAAAATGCAAGTATGGGTTCACCAATTTACATAATTAATTAGAATTAATTTAAATTAAATGGGTCATGAATGCAGTTTTCAATTCCTGGTCAGCATTTAGTTTAGGTAATAAGTATTTTTAAAAGTTGAATAATGGTAAAAACAACATAAAGATGGTGTTTATGTATTTCCGCATGTGGTAGACAGCATTAGGAGTTGCGTGTAAAAAAACAATTATAATTTATTTGAAAAATCATATACGTGGAAAACCGTAAGAGGTAATTTTTTACAGGACATACGTATGATTTAATTAATAAATATAATGTCTTTTTAAATAGGAGTTGTCTATATGTATAAGACAAATGTTTACCAAGTTATATAGGCAAAATGTAACCTTTATTATACTTTGGATAACTTAGGTTTTTTAAATAAAATTAGATTTATTGGAATACTGATTTAGCAGAGGAAAGGAATAGAGTAGAAAAATAAACGTAATGTTGACTTCAAAAAACTATTGGCTATTTATAACATCAAGTATATACATATCATAACAAATATAAGTACACAAGTATACATGGAATAGTGTTAGGGCCAATTTTATTCATAATATACAGCGTGTCCCAGTAATTTCTTACCAAATGGAAAAAATGTTTATTATTGATTTTACGGTAAAATACTTCTCTTCATAAAAAGTTCTGCTTTGTGAAAAAATCAATTTACAGCCTTAAAAAATTATGTAGAATATACAGAAAGGTACAAAAATTTAAATATAGCATTTTTTCATAAAACAACCCAGTTTAAAATGATAATTTTACGACTATTTTTGTTGTGTAAGACCTTAGAACATATATAGTCAGGAAGGAGCATGCCATGTCCGCGTTAATCTAATCGATCTGACGGAAGTGGTAGCCATGTTGTACAATGGATGACTCATCATCATATATGATGAATGGTTTCTAAAATTGGTTTATAATTTTAGTGATTAAAATTTGTTAATAATTTGGATATTTTATGTATTAATTTAAACTTTTATCAAGCGTATGTTTTGTAGACATTTTTAAAAGGTATTTAATGTATTTAGTATTACCATTAATTTAAAATTTTCCGCGTTAAAAGACAAACAAGACAATATGGTCAGTTGTTCTTCTTGTGGATATAGCAGTACAGCTAAAAGTAGAAAGGAATAATCTACATTTCATAAGCAAATATTTTGTTCATTAAAAATTTTCAGATTTCCTTAAGATTTTTAAAAAACAAAGTTATGGCTTGAGTTCATGCAACAAAAAAATTGTGAGCCAAAATATCTTAATTTTTTTAAAGCAGATTGTTTTGATCGAACCTCAAAACTAAGAATAAGACTTCTACCAACAGCTGTTCCAAGAATAAAAGTGGTCCGGTTGAAGTATATAAGTAAATAAATTCTTTACTAGCTATATCATGTGTCGTTTCGTATAATAAAAGTTTATTGTATGAATGTGATGCATCCTATATAATTTATTACAAAGTTATTTACAAGAACGTACATAAATAGAATTAATAATATCTCAAGTAAGGAAATAAGTATCGCATGCCTCAAGATACTGTCTTAGGTCCTATCTTGTTTAATTTTATTTTAATTAATTTGTCGTTAAAATACAGATGGAAATATTGTAAATTTTTCAGACGACACAGTTATTCTGTAAAATGCAGAGAACTGGAATTGATTAAAATTATTAATAGAAACAGATCTTATAAAAATTTTCGAATGGTTTAATTAAAAACTTACAAACCTTTGATAAAACTTATGTTGTTCCATTATACAGTTACAAAAAGATGGCCTCTTCCTATAGAAACAATAAAAAGTAACGTTCAGTAGTTTCATATAAGTAATACAAATGATATCAAATACCTTAGAGTACAAATTGACTTGACTCTCATCATAACTGGACTAAGATACAAATAATGCGTTGAATGTACATTTAAAAATAATCTATTTTGCACTCACAGAATCATTATTACGTTATAGGATCCTTTCTTGGAAAGGTATTTTACCTGCTTGTGTAAAATTGTCCTGCAAAAAATATTACTAATAATATTATGTAATAAAATGATCAGAAATTCTCTTCGATAGTAGGAAGTTTTATATGTACTCCAACAAAAATAAGAAAGAAATATCACAGCGGTGTTTGACCTAAATATAAGTATAGGATATTTAATTCTTTTTAACGCATATCTACACAACATATTTATTTTTTAAACCTTAATAATTTGTAAAATGTAGATTAATAAAGACATTGTCATAATAAAGACGTAAAAAAGTCAATTTTTTTTTAATACATTATTGCTTTGATTTTTCAAATGAAATCCCTCTATAAATTATCCCAAAAATATTTTCCTCTATTTATTTCACCCAACATGCAATTTTAAAGTAAAATTTATTCAAATAATGAAGGTTAATAAAAAAAAATGTAAACTTCTTGCAAGAAAATAGCAATTCGTTAAAATGAGAGAAATCGGTAAATTTAGATAATATGCAAGTGAGAATTTATAATTTTTTTTCTACGCCCCTTTATGACAGTACGTCACTGGTAGACCGGAAACACTTGTCGCCATATTCGTCTAGTTCACTGTCAAAATTAGATACCATCGCGATTCCAAGGTCGTTTAGGATTCCTCCTTCCTGACTATATATATTCAAAGTGTATTTTTTGTCTTTCGCTTAATAGTTTTAAATAAAAATGAAATTTACTTGACCTGTATTTTGATATGTTGAAAAAATGATAAAAAATAATTTAGTAGTCTTACACAACAACCATATTCGTAAAATTACCATTTTAAATAGGGTTATTTTATGAAAAAATGCTATATTTAATTTTTTAAACTTATCTACATAATTTTTCAGGACTGAAAATTTATTTTCTTACAAAGCAGAACTTTTAATGAAGAGAGTCTGATCAAATGGTGTTCAAAAGTGCCTGTTTTGTAACATGAGTGTGGTAGAAGATTTCTCAAAGGAATTATATATTTTTTGGGATGCTGAACACGAATCTAAAGTTTGCTGCCTTGTAGCAGTACCGCTTCAGGTCGAAAAACCCAAAAATCCTTAAAATTTTCGGATTTTTTTTGGTTTTCCACTCATATAATGGACACGATGCATCGTACGAAAAATGTCGTTCTATTCAAAGTTGAAGAGCATAAAATTCTGCTTCGAAAAACTTTCAAATTAGACCGACTTATAAGTCAAAAAAAGTCAATTTTTAGCAACTTTTGTGAAAACTGCAAGAAACTCACTTTTAGACGTCTATGATGTGAAAACACCCACTATACGTGAAAAACATCAAATTTTGCGTTCAGTGAGCATCTAAATTTTTAATTTTCCCTCTAAGCGCTTACTTGACCAATATGAAGAAGTTTCGCAAACTTTTGTATAAACTGCAATAAACTCATTTTTAGACGACGATGATTTGAAAACAGCCACTGCAAGTGACAAGGTTGTAATATTTAAGAGGGCCAAGTTCAATTGAAGTCCACGTAAAAAGCAGGAAGAATTATGTAACAGAAAAATATGTTGCTGCCTATTTGAATAGAGCTGCACAAAGTGTTTCCAAACAGACGTGTTCAAAAGAAAGGGGCTTTCTTTTTAAAATTCACTGCTTTTTGTGCGGACATGAAGTGCCCGCAGACTACAATAAGAAACAGATAAAACATACTCCTGCAAAACGTAATATGGTCTATCTTAAGAGAACATTGTCCATGAGAGAAAAAGTGATGAAACTCGCGGAAGGTCGAAATGACGAATATGGGCAAAGTGTATTACGTCGTCTTCAGCAAGTTGACGATTTATGTGCAGCTGATGCGCAGTATCATTTCCGCTGCATGAGAGATCTACACCATGTGCCAAAATCCCAAAATCAATTATTTCTTATCTAAGAAACAGTAATGTAGAATGTCAATTTACCATGGGGGAATTAATGGACTAGATTGACGGCGAATTTCGACCTTACTTGTCCACTGTCAGGTGGCACCTTCTTGAAAAGTTTGGCAACGATATTGTTGTCACATCAAGAACACTTTATGTTCTTTGTTTTAAAGCCAGCAGACAGAAAATAATTACTGACAATTAGTTTCGAAAGGTGGAGAAATTATCAGAAAAAAGGAAAGGCGCCGCATAGACTGAATATTCCCCCACCGATAAATTTCTGGATGGGGTCGAAAATGTTATTCCTGAGTCTCTTCGAGTGTTTATAGAGAGTGTGGTACTAAACAAGAAGCGAGTGAATTTTAAGCCACGGAAGAAAAAATCGCGATTGCACATACCTTGATTAGTTCAGTGTGGCCAATACCTTTTCTCTTACCTCTTCAAGTAGGTGTGGCAGCTTTTTTATACCAAAAATACGGATCGCGAAAACTGCTTGATGTCCTGTCATCTCTCGGGTTTTGTGCAACACACAACGAAGCAACTCGATTTGAAGTGTCGTCAATAATGCGCCATCCTCTGACTATGAAGCAACAAGTCCTTTGCCAAATGGTAAACGACAATGTTGATTTCAAATCCAAACTCTTGATGGAAGAAATACTATTCATACAGTGGGGAGCATCCGATACCTCACCCCAAAAAGTGCTGTTGCCCCTGGTCAAAAGATTAAACGACTGAAGACTACCACCAGCAGAAGTTGTGGGGAGCTTGGGAGCCATGACACTACAATACTTTGAGAAAAATTATGCTTACTGAACGCAAAATTTAATGCTCTACAACTTTTGTTCTACGAGGTATTCACGAGTGGCTGTTTTCACATCACAGATCTCTAAAAGTGAGTTTCTTGCAGCTTTCACAAAAGTTGATAAAAATTGGCTTTTTTCGACTGACGATAGCAACCATATAAATCGGTCCAATTTGAAAGTTAAGGAGGTTTTTCGACGCAAAATTTAATGCTCTTTAACTTTGAATAGAACGACATTTTCCGTAAGATGTGTCGTTTCCATAATATGAGCGGAAAAACAGAAAAACTCCGAAAATTTCATATTCCTGTTAAGCATCTCAAAAAACATATAATTCCATTGAGAAACTTTCTACCGCTTTCATGTTATCGACAAACTACCATTTGATCAGGCTAAGGCGCTTTTTTCCGTAAAATCAATAATAACCAGTTTTTGCATTAATTTGATAAGAATCATGTTCTCAATATAAATAACATTAGATTGTTAAAATTCAAAGAAAACGACATGAATTAAATATCTCAGAGTGATCGTAGATCGACACCTAAAATGGACATATAATCTCAATTTTTAACAAACAAGGTGAAGCAATGTTTCAAGTTAAGATGTTCTAAGTCGGTATATTGTACCTAGTGCAAAAAAATACAAAATAGGTATGCATATATATCCTAGGGTGACTACTTTTTATATTGAACAGTATTGCTATGTCGAAAACCGTAATAGTTACAAAGTCGGTTAAATGGGAAAAAAGTTGTACTATTGCAAGACTAATTTAGTGATGTTTTAAAACCGAGAGCATCAGGACCGGTTTCCAAGATATATAAGGAAAACCAAAGGACTCTATTTTAGATTTTCGATTGTATTGCCTTTATTTTACAAATTAGAAAAAAATTATAATAAGATTTTTTATTTATTATTAAGTAGCGCTTAATTTACCGTAGACAGATTTTTTATACAACGTTTCGTTTTTGGAGGGCCACCATGAAGTTTATTTTTTTGAATACGGACCTGTATTTTAAAAAAGTACTTTTAATCCTAAATTTAACCATGTAATACACATTAGTAGTTTGGCACGTTTTGATACTTTTTATTATTGCTATTGCAAGGTCACTATAAATTTTATTGTTTTAATACAGACCTGTATTTTTTATTATGCTTTTTTACTTAGATTAATGCCAAAACTACACTCCTAAAATTATTTTTAAATTAATCGCCGTTTTGTTACATTTGCTTCCTTTACCAGACATTTAATAGCAATCGTACCTAAGCCATACCTTTTGTGTTAAAGAGGGCTGGCGGTTAATGAGGAGTAATTTTTTCTATTTTAACATACCGTAGTTCATCAAGGTAGTTTTGTCTGTCCAAAGAATATTATTGTAGACTGGTCTATCACTATTTAGGCGAGTAACAAATAAAACAAATATTCTAGAGTGATCTATTAATATTTACACAAACAAACAAATTTACAAAAATTGCTCAAAATGGCCACCATTATTTTCAGCACAAAGTCGTGTTCTTTTACATGTGTTTTGCTGCCCTGGCAATCATGTGTGGATTAATTTCGTTGAATGCTTGATTAACTTTTTCTCGTAATTCAATGATATTTTCAGATTCATTAAAGTACACTAAATTTTTTAGGTATCCCCAAACAAAATAATCCATTGTATTTAAGTAAGGCGAGTGTGGTGGCCATCTTATAGGGCCTTTTGTTTCAATACATTTCCTTCCAAATTGCTGATTTACATAATTTCTTACGGTGTTGGCATTATGGGCTCCACTACCAATTTTGAGCATTTACATTTCCTTATATAAACTTGGGTCTAATAAGAACGTCGCCAATTATGCCACACCATAAATTTAATGAAAATCGTACCTGAGGCCGTACCTGCTGTGTTAAATGAGGGTTGGTGTTTGAGTAGTAGTGCTTATTTTTTTCTGTTAAATATTCCACAATTTGTAAATGTAGTTTCATTATTAATATTAAATTTTCATCGAAACCAGTTACAGAAAGTTAACCTACGGACAGGATCTTCTCTGTGTAATTTTTGTACTGTGTGGTATTTGTAATCGTAATATTTATATTTTTTTAATTTTTTTTTTGACGCTAGTTTTCGATATCCCGCATTGTATTGCAATTTAAGATTTTTTTGCAAAACCTAGATTCTGATATTGATTGTTTAATTTTAAGTGGAACTTTGAATATTTTAGATCAGAGTTTATTTAATATTGAAGGGTATTCTGCAGTATACAATGAAAGCAAATTTAACCAAAGTGACGGAGTTGTAGCTCATATTAAGTCGAAATTTACATTTACACACGACATTGTTGAAATATTTAATAAGATCGAAGCATTAGAAATTAAAATTCAACTCGAGAATAACATTAATATTAATATTACATCTTTATATAGATCACCAAACTCAGATGCAGTAGATTTTACTGCACATTTAGAAAATTATCCAACTAGATGCAAACACAATAACAATGATATATATTTTCATAAGTGATATAAACGTAGATCTTTTAAAATCGGAAAACAATACAACTTCTGATTATCTAAATGTTCTAAATGAATTTGGGTATATATATATATATATATATATATATATATATATATATATATATATATATATATATATATATATATATATATATATATATATATATATATATATCTCCTATCAATGAGCCTACAAGAATACAAGGGGTAATAGCAAAAGATGCCTAGACCATATTTTATTACGAGCTAAACAAGAAGTAGAAGAAACTTCAATTCCAATAATTATAAAGACCAATTTGACAGATCATTAAGTAACTATTCTTCAAATTCTGTGCTAGAAACAATAGATATGTGTAAGGAAGTTCGAAATAAAAAAAGAAAATATATAAAAATTGCACCTTGGTTAACGAATGGTCTTCTAAAATCGATAAATAAAAAAAAATTAATTATTTCAAGAGTCCGAATAATATGGCTATTAAAAGAAAATACAAACATTTCAGAAATAAATTAAACATTTTAATAAAAAAACTAAAAATGACTATTTTACAAATAAAATACAAAATAATTCACAAACATTATGGAATACTGTACGAGAAATAAGTCATACAAAAAAACTGAAACCTACCATAAAGTTGGCACAAAACATTAAAACTAACTGTAACTATAAATCTTCACGTAAACTTGTCCCAAACTCATTTGTCTTTACTTCTGTAGAAGAACCTGAAATAAAAAACGCAATAAATGAATTAAAAAATAATAAAGATGTAGGTATTGATAATATAAAAACTGAAACAATTAAATTAATAACTGATTTTATCACTAAACCATTAAAACATATTTTTAACGAATGCATTAAAAAAGGTGTTTATCCGACTGACTTCAAAAAATCAATAAATTATCCCACTTCACAAGCAAGGAGATGTTTCAGATGTAAATAATTATCGACCAATTTCTTTGATAACACATATTTAAAAAATATATGAAAACATTATTAAAAACCGTTCAACATCTTACTTAAACAAATTTAATGTACTATCTGGGTAGCTATTCTTGAATTACAGGGAATAGAAAACCGGTTTTTCCTCTTTATCTGCAACGCACAAAATTTGTATTTTTGTCTCGTTCTTCCCTCAAAATTTCTACTCCCTGAGATTCAAGAATAGATACCCTGATAGCCAGTATAGGTTTAGAGAAAAAAACGTCAACGCAGGATGCAATATTGTCCTTAACATCTAAAATAATTCGAGCAATTAATAAAAGTAAGCCATGTTTGTGTGTCTTTATAGACCTATACAAAGCGTTTGACATAGTCAGCCATAACTTACTTTTACAATCTTTGGAAGACATAGGAATAAGGGACAATTGCTTAAAGTTTTTTAAAAGCTATTTTACTAAGAGAGATCAAGCCGTGAGAATAGATGATATTGTCAGTAATTATGAAACGGTTGAACGTGGTGTACCTCAGGGCACTGTATTAGGTCCAATTCTTTTTAATATTTATGTTAATAATTTATTCTCACTTAGAAGTTCTGGTGATATTTTATGATTTGCAGATGATACTGCAATATTTTATGAATCGAATACCTGGGATAATCTTAAATTGAAGGTCGAGACTGATTTCTGTAACATAAAAAATAGGTTAGAACTTATTAACGATAAATATTAACAAAACTAATTACTTACCTTTTGCTTGCAATTATTTGGGTTTAACAAC